GTCGTTGGACGAGGAAGGCAACATCGTTCTCTTGGGTGTACGGTTCCCATCGTGGCGAGGACGGGATGGTACCCCGTACCAAGGCAGAGTACACCACATGCACCGCTGCGTCGACAGCGGGCCAACATATCAGTATCGACGAGATCATTGTCTACTCTGACGCCGACCTCATCGAGCAGCAGCCCGCGTGGGCTGGCAAGCAACTGCAGTCTTTTCAGGAGGACCCTATTCTCGGAGGAGGTGCACCTGGCAAAGGCGGTCTGCGAGCTCAGCGTGCATGGGGTCAGCAGGCTGAACGTCTCGCAGACCAGGTCTCACAACTAGCGACGGTGGTTCAGCAACTGTGGGGGGCATCACAGCAGCAGGGGAAGCCACCGATTGGAGGGAGTCCTGACGTTCCGCGTGAGCCCAGGACGAAGCCCCCCAATAGGAACCGCGACACGGAGCCTATCATTTTGAAGAAGGTCCGCCGTCTGCTCAAGAAGGTGGATCGAGACCGATGCAAACCGACGGCAGCTCAGGTGGAGGCACAATTTCGGGCCGTCCTCGGTGATGATGCTGCTCCTACCACGCCTCTCTCTAAGACACCGCCCTAAGAAGACGTTCAAGCTCCTAGAATCGGACTGGGGAGCGGCGCCGCTGTGAGCAGCGGCGTCCTTGTCCGATCGGACGTACTCCACGGCGCCAGTGACCATATCTACTACGCTCACAGAGTACGCCCAAGCAAGGCAATGGCTCGCGGCCAGTTATGGAACGATTGCGACTTTTGTAACATTCGGTCTTTCCTCCTCCGTCGAAGGTGCTGCCACTCAGGGTGTGATGACGGTCACTGGCTCTGGCAATGTACCCCAGCGCGCACAGGTACTCCACGTGGGCGGTGACGCTCCCAAGCCAGTTGGTCTCCTTGAGGGGGGCAAGGACGACGCAGAGTACAAGCCGCCCACAAGTGCCACACAGGTCTTGAGGCTGACTTGCGTGAAGAGCTACTGCTCGGAAGACCTGTATGGCCGTGCAGCGCAGCGCCCTGCCTCCCCTCCGACCCTCAACGCCGATCTCACGAAGGGGACAGTCAGAACGAGGGCGGCCATCAACGACGAAAGCGAGACCACCGTGCTTCTTACCATTCAGGACAGTCTGGTGCCCAAGTTCCTCGAGTTTGAGCTACCCCAGGGGATCGCACTCAATCATCCGAGGTCTACACTTACTCCGAGCTGGTTCACTATCCGAGCTGATGAGGCACATCTATCATACTGGGCAAGGGTAACAACTCTCTGCCCAGTGGAAGGTCGGATCTCGTACCGACCCTCCGACAATGCCCTTCTGGGCTTCTCAGCGAGACGCACGTTGCCAGCGAACTTCCTCAGAGATGGGCAGTTCAACGGGCACCTCCTGAATGGGTTGGCCCAGATGATCTATCAGGATGGGCCGCGCAGCGTGGTTTCACAAACGTGGGCTCTATTGTGCGCACTGGCAGGCGATCTTGGTTCTTCAGGGCGTACCTGGGAGCCGTTCAGACTCAGAACAATGGCGTTTATTATTTCCCAAGTGGGAGTATTATATCAGTTGCGAAGGCCCCGACTCCCCGGACGGGCGCGGCCAACAAGAAGTCCACTCCAAAGGCTGCCAGCGCGTGGGGCACGGCAGCGCCAAAGTACGCCGCTGGCGACGACGACGAGATGGAGGAGCCCCCCACCTCGGCCTCCTCCTGCCGGCACCGAGGATGGCGCCAAGGACGGCGCCAAGGACGGCGTAAAGGACGCTCCACGCTCTCCCCGAGCAGGCGGTGAACCTGCCCAGAAGCAGGCCGAAGGGGTCACGACACCCCCGTGGCTCACGTATTTGACCAGACGGACTTGTGCTGTTTCTTCCTATGTGCTGGTGTTGCTACGACTTCGACGACGACGACGACGACGACGACGACGACGACGACGACGACGACGACGACGACGACGACTACTACTACTACTACTACTACTCGTACTACTACTACTACTACTACTACTACTACTACTACTAATGCTACTACTGTTTTCTATTACTACGACTACTACTACTACTAGGGCTTCGACTACAACTATTATTATTATTATTCTTACTACTGCTTGCATCAGGACTACGACGATTGCTACTACTACTTGGTCTTCTGAATAGAGAAGAAGGAAGAAGGTTGCGACGACGCCGACGCCGACGACCACCTCTCTTACTACTACGACTACTACTACTACTACTACTACTACTACTACTACTACTACTACTACTACTACTACTACTACTACTACTACTACTACTACTACTACTACTACTACTACTACTACTACTACTACTACTACTACTACTACTACTACTACTACTACTACTACTACTACTACTAGTACTACTACGACTACGACTACGACTACGACTACTACGACTACGACGACTACTACTACTACGATTGCTACTGATACTTGTTATTACTACTACTACTACTACTACTACTACTACTACCACTCCTACTACT